CCTGATTTTCTAAAAACACCTGAATATCCTCAAGGATTAGAACTTGACATTCCATATTATGATTATGGTTTTGCTATCGAAGTCCAAGGAGTGCAACATGAAAAATATAACAAATTCTTTCATCGAGGAGATCTGAATAATTACATCAAACAGCAAGCACGGGATCAACTCAAGAAAGAATTGTGTGAGGAAAACTGGATTGTTTTAAGGTATGTTTGGTACTACGAAGACCCATATGTAATTATTCCAGAACATCTTCGAGAATTAGGTCTTATTGAGTAAACTTGAAACTTTAAATACTTCTGTTTTACTAATTATATAATAATTTTTTCAGTAAGCATATATTTCGCGAAAATAATTCAGTTTGCAGTTATTTTATTAACAAGTAGTAAGCTCAACATTTAAAATACTATTAACATCAAGATTACCTAATACAAAAAAAACATTTGCAGAATTTTTCTATAATTTAATATTATAGCATTTAAGGTAGAAGTAAACGATGATTGTATTAATCAAAAACATGAAATCTTTCAGAAACTTCAAAAGTATTTGCCCTGCGAAATTCCACCACATATACTCGTCCAACAATAGGATTTAGCCGTCCTATCACAGTGTTATGATAAATATTATATAAATCTCTGATAGCTTCATCTATTGTCTGCATACTGTTAAATGCGATTACAGAATTTGATTGTTGCAAGTGTTGCTTTGGAAATGCGATAGGAATATAGTTTTGAGTTCTTCTAATTACTAATCCAGAAAATGAAGTTAGAAAAACTTTTTGAAATAGGATTATATAATATTATTTATGGTTATACCGTTGGCAACATTAGCTTCTGTGATATTTCGACTGACGAGACCCGGTTGATTGTATTCAATTATTAATAATGGGTCGTTGCAAAAAATTTCTTCGTCATCATCCCTATGTTTATTTCGAATCATGTCACCACATAAAGCAACTTGTTTTTTTGTTTCTTCAGAAAACTCCGTTGGAAATTCCATTTTTTCATTGAAGTAGTTTTCCCTAAGAAATATCTTGTGAGTATCGGCATTTTGTCAATTTGAAAAAAGAATGACGAATATACCTTATCCACTTATATCCAAAATACGTAAATAATACTAGAAGTATGGCTAGCCAAAATGGACTAAGTAAGATTCCCCAGAAGAAATAAAAAAAAAGAAACGCCAATAATAAAATAATTAAAAGTGGCGAACAGCAACAGAGAAGAGCGTAGTATTCGATTCTTGTCATTTTTTGATAAGTACAACTAAATAAACCTAATGTGGAATAAGATGATCTAACGACTAAACGCAATAATCATGCAATGATTACGTAATGGTGGTTTATTACCATTGTTCCACAATCACATGGTAACAGAGTGACTTTTACCATCATTTTTATTAGCCTTTGGATGGTATAGAATATCTGGATTCATTTTTGTGTGATTTTGTTCTTGAACCATCTCTTCAAGAGTATTGTATTTTGGGGTTTTTGAGCGATATATGATATGAGAATGGGAGAGATGCATATTTATTGTAGTGGGGTATATAGATATAAATATCATTTGTATCATTGTTCATAATTTGACAGATGAGAGTGTGGAAAAAAGTGCCTCAAGTTCAGGTATTATATAACATTGAATATGTAAATTTAGCCACTATGTGACTGCCTTCAGCGATTTCTCATCGCAAGTTGGTATAATGTGTCAAGTTTGTGATATCATATGATAATTGCTTTTTCCGATAATAAATTTTTAATGATTGACATCCGGGATATACTGTATACATATTGCTAGTATAGTGGAGCTAGTGTCAAGACACATATCGATTATATAACACGTGTTGAAAAAAGGCACGCTTTTAAGATACGCAAGAGACTAAGCTATTTCATCGTTATTTTGCAAAATTAATGTTAATCTTTGCTTTTCAGCTGAAATCATCTACGATTACCTGTAATATTTACGTCTCCACTACAATTTTTCTGGGTAGAGAATAAATCATCCACTTGACTCACACTAAACCCATATCTATTATGTAAGATTCGTTTTGCTATCTCTCTGATAATCTCTTCTTCCAAATCTTTGGGGGTGAAGCTATAGCTATTTTATAACTGCCCTCAATAACATTTATGGCTTTATTTTTCCCACCTTTCTGATTAGGTATCAATATACTTACCTGTTCACTGCTAAATTTAAAACCATCGCGAAGGCGTCTGCGCGCCTGATTCCGCTTTCTATCATCTGTAAGATTCTCGAGAAACTCTGAGGTGTATTGACTAAGTTCAGATAAACTCATCTTGGGGTTGAGATTGTATTTTTCAACGATTTTAGTTGTGATAGCTGATATGGTTGAATGTTATAATAGGTTTGGTAGTTTATGAACAGTTTTTTAGGTTATATACACTATGGAGATTCTTTTTTCAAATCGAAATTAATTATCCTGGATCACTATAGCCAAAAAATTGAATAGGTCGTGATTAGAGTAATTATTCAGAAAATGAATACGGGTAAGGCACGAGATCGATCAAAAGTCTTGGAATCCATAGCTCTACGTAATAAAATTACTAAAAATATCAATGGGATCAAAGAAGATATAGTATTGCTCAAAGAGGTTTTCGAGAAAATAATCGATATATGCCAGGTACATGATATACGTCAATACCTTGGATCAGATCTGTCGATTTGAAATTCTTTTTCCTCTCATGTTCGGAAAAAGGGAGTATATATAATGCTATGTGGGGAACAAAGTTTCCTAAATTAAAAAGATAACCTATAATATCTGACTTCGAGCAATTACTGCGAGAAGGCAGGAATATAACGAAAAAAAATTGCTTCGCATGTACGTAGTGCATATAGCTTTGAAGTTGCGATCCAGGCTATATTAATCGATTTATTATTATATTTTTTATTGCAGAGCAATAGTTCTTCGAACCTACAATGCTTGGAATAGATTCCAGTATGTTTCTATACTTATGGACCATTTCTTGTAAATATCGGGTTTATTTTCCATTATATCAATCGGTGGTATCATAGCTGGATGGGACAGAGCATTCATGAATCTAATTTGCTCTGGATAATAATAATCCATAATATCTGGTAATTGTAGAAATTCGGCTAAATCTTTTACATACCTGAAGCCATTACGCATTAGTCTGCGGAATGTTGGTCCGTTGTGATCAATCTCTCTTTTGGTTAATAAGTTGACTACTTTCTGGGGTGTTTCCATTGGGAGTTACTAGTTATGAAAATGATAATAGTTAATTGTTACTTATGAAAATGATAAGTTTAATTGGTTATTTTCAAAGTCCTGGAAAAATAAATGATAATACTTATCTAGTAAATTGCTTCGCGTATACAGAAATTAAGCACGCAGAGTTTCTTTTATACACTTCTGTTTATAATATTTATACGCTCTTTCCCTACCTTGACCACATGGGACACAAAGCTGAAGACTTGATTTAGTCCCTCGTCCACATCCTTTACATGGTTGGGGAATTATTACACCCTTTCAAATTTTGAATGCATGGGAAGCGCAATATTCCCTCTTTGCTGGGTTTTTACATAAATTGGTGTCTCCAACTAATAACCAATTACAAGGCATTTTATTATTCTATATTCACTTTCATATTTAAAATCAAAGTTGAGGATAGAGAATTAACTAAAATTTTTTCAAATATCATTTTTAAACACCACAAAATCCAGTATATATGGTATATCCAGTATAACACAGAGTTTGCGTAATATTTTTTATCTGAAAATTTTTATATTGACTAGATTATAGGAGCAAAAAATCCCCCTATACCAAAGCTCCTACCTACGAAATTCGCCTATTCAATCCTTAATATATACATAGTAATCTTACCATAGATATCCATTTTCCTGGAGTATCGCTATATTTTTTTTCCATTCTTCGCCATTATAAATACATGTATATGGTCAGAGTTTACCATCATCTTCATACATCCGAAGCTTAATCTCCATACATATCAATTTTTCTCGCCTGGTTAATTCCATATACTCCTCTGGATCGTCCCCATCTTTTCGTGCAAAATCGATTATCTCTGCGTCTGCCATCATTTTATCTCGGAATACCATCACTAAGTCTCTATCCTTCTCAGTTATGGTCATGAACTTATCTGGATCTTCACCATGTTTAACCGCAGTTTCTCTTAAATGCGTCTCCCTTTCTGCTCGGGTTGGAAGTGAAGAGGGTGATGCTTCCGGTTTGGTGATGAATTTTCCATTTCTGGATTTGGATTTATCGTTCACAGGTAAGTCAGGAGATGGTTTAACTTCATTATTGCTAGATTCGATAATTTCTGGAGTTTTAGGTTTATCATCCACAGATTCTACACATTCGATTCCTGAAGTCATAGATATATCGGTAGACCTGGATGACGAAGCAATTGAATATTCTGGTTGATCTATCATAGAATCAAAAAGGTCTTGGGTCATGTTAGTGATAGGAGCAGGTGATGAATCCTTGCCTTTTTCAGGTTCTATTTTTTCTGGTTGAGGGGTTACAATTTCAGGTACGTCGAATACAGGGATATCTGTGGATGTGTTGGAGGATGTCTCAGCTTGAGGTGTGTCAGAAAATTCCTCGATATCACCTACTGATTCACGTAACTTGGCCACGATTTTGGAACGATCAAATATGTAAACCCATTTTCTTTTTCCATTAATCCGTACTTGCTTTTTCTCAATCCCTATCGGTGGAAGAAAGCCTCCAAATTTATTATTACTGATTCGATCCTCGCCTTCACCCCCACACCAAGTAAGATAATCTTGATATAAATTTCCACTGATTGGTTCTTCGATTTGATTTTCGGATCATGAATTAATATGTTGTATTATAAAGCGAGTAGGATTCGGAAGTTGTTTCAACACCGTTTCTGTTTTCATTTTGGTAGCAGGAAGCTTCCCTGATCTCCATTTTGATAGATCGTGACTAAGAAGATATGCCATCACCACTCCCGGTGCATCAGGATGGTCTAAAATTTCTCCTAATCGGTCAAAATATTCTGTATTTTCTCTACAACGTGCTGATACATCGAAACATACTATACGTGTATCACCCGCTTCTATTTTAAGTGGAGCGTCCTGATTACTTGTAATCATAAATCCACTAAAATCATTTATTCTTAATGTTTCGAGCCCTTTACGCTCTATACTTACCTTTCCCTCCGTTATAAGAGATTTAAGATGTCCATTAAACCTATGCCAGTCCCCACTAGACATACTAGTTTCATTCATAACTATAAGT